TTATGCGCACAAAAAGTATTCTCGTCGCTTCATAAAATTATTGTAGAACCACTGTAGTCACATCGACTGTTTTAATGACATCTTTAGTACCTTTATGGAGCTTGAGAGTCTGGGTGGCGTTGCTGTCAATGGAGGCCTTTCTGGGCCATCGGATTTGATCAAAAATATCTTAATTTGTGTTCTGAAGATGAACGAAGGTCTTAGGGGTGTGGAACGACATGAGGGTGAGTAATTAATGACAGAAATTTCATTTTTGGTTGAACTAACCCTTTAAAAACCCTAACAAGGGGAGCAGTCTCAGAGCTGGAACACAGCTATCCTCGAATAGCAGATTCCTAGACAAAGACTTCAGCACTTACTTGAGAGAACTTGTGCCAAGGGGAACCCAACCTAGTCATAGAAGCCAGGCTAGAACACAGCTGCCCTCAGACCGCTGTATTTCAGAGTAGAGGTCTACACGGGTCAAAAAATTTGAACCCGAAGAGACCCGTAAATGTGCTACACTGAACCGACCCGGACCCGTCTATTATTTTGAAAGTTGGACCCGGGCCCGTGCAGAACCGAGAAATGTCAAAAATGTACTACCCGGAACTGACGCGGACCGTCAATTATTTGAAAGATGGACCCGAACCCGGCCGGGAAGACACAGACCCGACTGGACCCGATCGGCACATATTCCACAGCAAATTGCTATTAACAAGTCGATAAACAAGTTGCGAAAATTAAACTTCTTGTCTTACCTAATGTAAGAAGCCTTCTCCCTTGTACACAATCCTCCTTGCCAAGAAAGTTCCATCCGTGTTATTCCTCTCTTGCCAATTGAAATGCGTAATCCATTCATTATTCCAGTTTCAAAAGTCCACTTGCTGTCACGGTGACGGATGACAAATGCGACTTTGCAGTTTTGCATTTTTCGTATCTCGAGTCAACTTGCATAATAATTTAGACTGTTTGCCCATTTGGATTATAATAACGATTGCTCGTCCAGTGCCATGGCTGCTGACGTTAGTTTTACTTATGTGCTATCATCTCTGTGCTCTCTGAGCCGATCCCTGAGCAAAAATTACGGACCCGGCTGACCATTTAAAATATAGCCCCGAACCCGTACGGATTCCGGGTCGGGTCCTCGGGTCCTCCGTGTAGACCTCTATTTCAGAGCAAAGTAAGTTTGTGATGGAGCATAACTATCCGCAGACAGCTACACTCTGAGCAGGGGTGTTGTGCTGGAGCATAACTATCCACAGACAGCTACACTCTGAGCAGGGGTGTTCACCTGAAGCCCTGAAGAGGGGGATCAGTCTACTCAGCCCAAACTTGAGTGGGATTCAGAGGGACCGCCTAATTAAAAATACCCAGAAGCTTGGGGAGGCAACCCGCTCCTAAACCCATCTGGCTTGACACAGGAAGGAACATTCCCCATAACCTCTCTAGGTCACTGAAACACCCTGCATGTAGTCTTTGACCCCTTTTTGCCTCAGGTTATACAAGATACAATATTATTTATGCCATACTACTATACAAAGCATGATTTGCATCTGCTAATGATTGTTTTGTTTTTTTTCTCCCCTTCTCCCCATGTTCAGAGGCCTGAAGACAGACAAGAAGTTGCTCGTGCTGGGCGTGAATTGAACCAGGAAGTGAATAGACTCATGGTGGCTATGAGGGACATGTTGGCTAACATCCAGTTTCGTGAACCTCAGTGGGAGAACAACCATGAAAGAGACGAGGAGGAATGGGACTAAAAGATCAAGGGTGTGATTTCTGAGCACCACGCACCACCCATGAAATTGAGCTACAATGTTTAGTACACTGTGACAGTCAGCTGGAAACATTAGTAAAAAAAAAAAAAAACCTTCTGAATTAAAGTATGGTCAAAATTGTTTTAGTAATGATTAAATGTTTACTTTAAGGTTTCATGTTTGGGTAAGGGATTGGATATATCCTGTCTGAGGGTGAGGTACACTTTATAATGTTAAAGGTTGATAATTTCTATAGACGAAATTAGTTCATTACAGAAATTAGTTAATTTCTATAGACAGACATGACATCTTCAACTATAGCAGGTCAGATTTTCAGAACCCTGGCAATGGTATTTCAGTGTTGAATATTATAAGATATCAAACAGACATGCTGATGTATATAGCCAAGGGTATGTAATATATTCAAAATTCTGTAAATGGGCACTAATTGAAGACAGAGTTGATTTAATCTTGTGAGGTAATTAAAAACTGTTTTATTCCAGATTTAGTGTTTGGTGTGTACCAGACCCTGTTATATCCCATGCAAAAATATGTTGTTAAAGGGATAGTTCACCCAAAAGCGGTAGAGCCCTGCACGGGCCTCAGATTTAGGCCCTAGCCCGGCCATGGCCCGAGACGCTCAGGCCCTAGCCTGGCCCGTGTCCGACAGCTCATCAGAATTACCGGCCCGAGTCCGACCCAAGCCCATGTCTCCCCCCCCTTCTCCCAAAACAGCTTATACTACTGTTCCAGCTATTAAAATAGTTCAGTTTTGTATGTAATGGCAAAGTGATTATATTTCGTTTCGTTTTTTTGCAGGACATGGAGGCACCAGCGCGATCACTTGCATTTTTTTCAATGATATGCCGTAATTTTTACTCATAAAGATAAAGGTAAGAGTAATACATCATTCGTAACTGTAAAGGGTCTACTTA